TAATCAGTGGCAGAAGTTGCCTTAGAAGTGCCACAAAGCTACGAGCCTACGACGGAGATCGGGAGTCACTGTGGTCCGATTAAACTAAGGCTGCTAGGGTAAGGATCAGGAACAGAACTGGATCCCATAGGGTCTGTATTTTTTAGACCCAGAATCGAATTTCAGAATAATCGGGTCTGAACCGATTACAATAAACCTGCTATATATTCATATTTAATATATTAATATATTATACACCTCACAGCCCCATCCTACCATGTAATTGGAACATCTGTTATTATTCATGGGAGATGTTTTCAATAGGGATGTGACTGTGAGTTCCGTGCGAGGAGCAGATTCCAATTCCATTCCATTGTGTATTGGGAACATCTCCCATGAATAATAAGATGGGGCTGTGAAGTAGACTTGTTCATGGGCCGGGTAGTCTGACGGGGCAGCCCGGCCCAGCTTGGCTCCTGGATGGGCTTGAACACACATTTGAGCCCGTGGGCTTGACCTCGGGCCTAAAAGCCCGAGCCCAACTATGTTATGAGTCGGACTTGGGATTTGTTAAAAAAACTCAGCCCAACCCGACCTATAGGTTAAACTAAAAATCCATAATATCCTAGCCCCTCTTTTCATTCATCTCTTTCTTGACTAAGCCAGTTAGCCGAACCTTTCTTAATTTTCAGAGTGACTCACAACCTCACACTCTCAGGCAAACATAGAACCGGCGAACACTCACCAGCACAACCAGTAAACTCCGACAGACCGATGTGATCTCTCTCTCTCTCTCTCTCTCTCTCTCTCTCTCTCTCTCGTTCCTCTTCTTAGTTCTCACTTCTTCTCTCTCAAATCTTAGACGTGAACTTAGGCACTGGTGAGGCAACGAACACAGGCACCAGTGGTGACGATGAGTCTTCTCTCTCTCTCTCAGATGTGAACTAACTTCACTTTTCGCTGTCGCTCATCACAAATTCAGCACCGCTGAACACAGTCACCAACGATGACTCCTCTTTGCCATTTTGTTGTATTACATCAAGTGGCAAGTAACGGAGTGGAGAGAATAAATTTGTTAGGTGAAGAGTCTGGCCTGGGTTTGATCAAAACCCACTAGAAAAATTTCCATAATCAATATTTTCTATAGATCGAGCTTTGGGCTCGGGCCCGGGTTTTGGGCTTTTTATCAGGGTCAGGCTTAGGCCCAAATTGTAGGCCCGCTGGTCGGGCCGGGTTCAGGCTTGGGCTCAGGCCTAACAAAATCCTGTTTATGTAAAGTAAAAGCCCGGCCCGGCCCATGAACAGGTGTACTGTTAATTACACAGATCTGGACTCTAAAAGAAGTATGAATGGAAAACCGGATCTGCGGATAAGATCCGAACTCTGTGAATGGGTTGAAACGAGGGGGGTGTTTAAATGAAAATGTGACAGGAGTATTGACACCAGAAAAGGTGTTATTGGACACTCTGGTGTTGGGTATTACAGAGCCCGTTGCATAGAGCTGTGAGGGCAGCAAACCCGAGCTCCTTATTTGGTTGTTCAAGGGAAGCGTATGTAGATACAGTTTGACGAACCCGGAATCATGAAGCGAGTGTTTTCGAGTCCACATAAGCTAAAATCCCCCCGAATCACAGCTATTTTAGAGTAATGTTCTGCTAGTTCTAGCCTTTACCAACACTCAAGAGAGTCTAAATAGCTGGCACTCGGTGATTGCAGAACAACGACGTTAACAGCAAATTCCAAGCTCGATCTGAAACTATGGAGGCCATTAGATATTAAAGTATGAAACGCGATACCCGAGATAAAATAATACTCCGTCTGTCATGAAACCCACCAGATCACCACTTTGTGTTTGTGAAGCACTGAAGGCTGAACTGATCAAGAAGCATACCACTGGAAATTAATGTAAGCCAGAAATCGTTTCGGGAACCATTTTTCCTCGCAAATAACAACAATAAGGTAAAACGTCTAGAGACGAACTTCTGAGGAAATTGCAGCCTCTGAAAGCATCAGAGAAGTGATATCAAAATGTTACGTGTGGCTCCCAAGGCAAAATCTAATTGTGGGAGACAACACCTTGAAAAGTGAGCTGAGAAATAGAGGCCCCGCTTATAACAGACGAATCTTTGTTAAATGCATACGAAGCTGGCCCTGCATTTCTGTACTGTATCTTCCGATCCGACCACCACTTAGCACATAGAATTAGATGGCTTATGGTGGATTCTCCGATTCGGTTGATGCCAGGTCAGGGCATGATGGGCATCAGTCCCTTCACACCTAACTCTGCTACTATGCCATTAGCTGAATTCAATGACTCATTTAAAGGATTGTCGCCATTCGCCGTGGCTGGATTCAATGCCCACACAACCATACTTTCTCCGCAGAGATGAGGAGAAATCCCTTAAAAGCCCCAAGTTTTAGAAAATGGATCAACTCTAGCCACACTGTTCAGAAATTGCTTTAAACATCTTCAAATTTTATGACAATGGATAATTGTCGCTAACTGTTTCTGAAAAGATGGAAAAGATTATTTTATCCTTCATTCTATTTTAAATTTTCAAAATGGTATTTATAACCTATGAAAACCAAAAAACGGAAATTGATTGGAAGTCCGATTGTCTCATAACGTTGAGACCGTTGTCGGATATGTTTTAAGTCTTTTGCACAGATTATCTCCAACATAGACGGATAGACCATTTTCCCATCAGTAATTTTAGATGGTAATGAAACCAAAAATATGCAGTCGCTCCAATTTAATTTAATTTGAATGCAGTCATAGCAGCTACAAATCACTTCTCCGGTGATAATAAAATCGGTGAAGGTGGATCCGGTCTACAAGATAAGGGATTATAGATATAATAAAAAAAACTAGCTAGAATTCATCAAATATGTGAAATGTAATTAAATCAGAACAAAAACTAGCCTTTCATCAGTTTTCAAAACAATATTCTCTAGAAAAACATAAACATAATCAAATGCTATGACTTGCACTCTCGTCAACATCCTCATCCAGCTACCCTCTTCTCTTATCTATGTTCTCACTTACTCCCACATAAATCTCTAGCCTCTAGTTTTAGAGTTTACATATTTTAACAAAATCTTTAGCTGAGTTAATATTTAAGTAAATTTTAAATAATGAGGATAGAGATACTACATTTCCTAAAACTTAAGATATTTGAAGTAATTTTCCCTCAGGATGGTTGAACTGCCCACGTCCCCATCCGTGAAAACGACACCTAATACGACGCATTAGTGTTATCGACTTAGACTAGTTAGTGCCAGGCTGCCAGCTGCTACCTGCTAGTGACTCACTGATCCTAGACACTGCCCGTAGCATCAACACCGCTTCGTACCAAGTCTGTACAGTTTATGTCCTTCTGTGTACTTTTTAGTTTTTCACGCGGATGGTATCTCCTCTTGTGGCTGCACCGTCGGTATCTGCTGGTTCCCCGTTTTGCGGGATCCGTTGCTGGATCCTCGGTAAACCATACACCTTCGATTGTGTAATTCTGTAAAATATAAACCGTAATAATCTATGTGACGGAGATGCAGCTAAGGCTAAGCTTGGAATCAGTGTAAAACGTTTTAAACCCATTACATTTTACATCCAACCGTTAAAATGATTGTAAAATTTTATCGATGTAATATTTATATTGATAATTGATGATGTACGATCTCGTAGGTTCCTCTTGGATGATAGTTTGGACATCGATCTGTTTATGTGGTTAGTCGAACTATAAGAAAATACGATTAGAGGATTCGAGGTGTTTTATTCGAAGTGGGCATTTGATGCTTAAGTTAGCGAAGAATATAGTTGTGAGCTTGAAAATTTATGAGTAAGAGATTAGAGAGCTAAATCGCACATACTTTCTAAGGTTAGAGGTGAGCCCTTTATATAGGCGAGCAACCCTAGGCCTCACGAAGTGTATCCGAGATCTCCGGCCTATATTACCTGAAGTCCGTTTCGCACCCGAAGATGGACGTCGTGTGAACTAATAAGGCTTATTGAGTTCGTCCGATCGGGCGGGATAAAGATAAGGTTCGCAAACATGCAATATGATCCTGGAAAGGTCAAAGACAACTAGTTAGCTTCCCGAAGTGGGCTACATGGCACCTCAACAAGTTGGGACACCACGAGCTACTCGAACCTCCGTCTTGGTCGAGGTTCCCGAGATGCCCGAGTTGACCTAGCCAACAGGAGTGTTGGAATGTGCTGAGTTGTCATTTAATCATCAGGTCATTCCACGTGTCTGTGTGATAATAAGTCGGGCAAAATTATCTGCCATCAATAATCGATGTAAAGCTTTATATTTAATAGGTTTTACATCGATTATTGACGTAAAACTCCATTTCATCTAAACGAATACAAAACTAAACAAGAGTGGAGCTTTGCATCGATCATGATTACATTGGCCTTCCAAATGTAGACAAAATCGAACCGGTGTAAAGTTTTACACCATTTTTTATTTACACCAATTCCAAATGCAACAAGGATCCAATGCAACCAATAAATCCAAGTTGGTCACAGAATGCCCTTGTAATTACCCATACTCGAGATCGGCTTTGGTCAAGGCAAGCCCATACTTACATTGTCCCAAAAGCCTCTTATAACCTTGCATCGGGAATATCTCCTTATGAAATAAAGGAGACCAGATCTGCTCCTCACACCTAGTGCCTCGTAGGCACCTCACACGCACATCCTATCATGCATTGCGAACATCTCCCATACTTATTAATTATAATTCATGGAAGATGTTCCCAATGTACGGTGGATGTGCCTGTGAGGCACCCATTTGTGAGAAACAGATCCCATCATGAAATAAAGCACACGAGTAGAGAGATATTCACAATGCAAGGTTGTAAAGGCTGTTCGAACTGACTCCGGATCTCCTGCCCACGAGAACCCTGCCCCTCTATGGGCAGGAGATCCGGGCTCGTTCGAACGGGCGGTTACCCAACGGAAGCCGAACTCCCCATACCCACCCATAAGTCTAAACTCCAAAACATTAAAAAAAGCAGTGTAAGGAAACGCATCTCACATTCCCACAAGAAAACCAACCCTACAACTTCCGTTTTCTGCTCACCCGGCAAAAACATTTTACATAAAGGGGGAGGATCATAAACCTTTACAAGTAAAAGAAAAATAACAGAAGCATACTTCGAGATGGAAGTATTACTCCAAACCTCGCTACATACACCCAAGCACAAAACCTTAGTCTTCACCTATGGCTCGGTTTCTTGCCAAAATCAGCTTCCCTGGTCACAAGCTTAATCCCCCTCACCCACAGCTCAGCCATTTCGACCCCACCTTCACACACGAAATGCACCTCCTTATTCCTGCTTGTTACCACTCGAAACATTCCTGGCTCATCGGCATCACCTTTCCTTTGGCGATTCTTACGGAAGGCCAAACTCGGCCCCAACTCTGCTTCCACGCAGACCACATTCCTCCTACTCGACCTTCCCCAACTCAATACACCTGCACTTCCCACCATCCTCATCAATTTCTCATGTGGAGCTCCCTTGCCACCCTTGGTGTGTTTCTGCACATGAGCCCCGCATAACACAAGTGTCCGAGAAAGCTCATCCAATATCACACGCTCAGCGTCTCCGCCACCATTCTTTCGTGCAATTGAGAGAGCAGAGTCACCTCTTACATTCTTGATGTCACATCGAGCTCCACACGAGATCAACAATTGGCACATGCACCCATGGTCTTCTTTTGCGGCTAACATGAGTGGAGTGTAGCCATCCCCATCGGGAACGTTTACATCATATCCCCTGCTTGTTAGCAAGCGAACTGCATTTACGTCTCCACGGCGGGCTGCACAATGTAGGGCACAGAACCCGCCAGCCCCAAGGTTACCCTTTTCAAGGGCAAATTCAAGCATTACCTTCTCAAAGAGATCACGTTTCTGGTTCTGTTCAGATAGCGTCAGTGCTGTCTCACCAGACTTGTTACACAGTTTTACATCAGCTCCGGCATAAACAAGCGACCGGAAGGCATCCACGTGGCCTTCCATGGCGGCAACCATCACAGCAGAGAAACCATTGTCATCCTGAAAGTCTAAGCTGATATCTGACCAATTAATTACTGAGTTCAAGGCCGGAACATCCCCTGTTGCAGCTACAAAATGTAGAGGCGAGAACACGGATACATTGCTCGATCTAATAATCTTCCCAGCCGGAACTACATCTAGTAATGCACGCTGGAAACCGAGCGACCACCTGTTTGATCCAGCAATCGAACTTGCACACTGACCAACTAAGTTGACCAGGCCAAAGTCGGCACCAGCTGAAGCCAGTACTTTGAGACACTCTTCTTGCCTGTATCTTGCGCAAATCATTAAAGCTGTGTCGCCAGAACCTGTTTGGGAGTTGACGTTGCAGCCAGCTTCTATTAAGACCTGCACGATCTTGGGTAACCCAAGTCGTGCAGCGATGTGTATCGGACGGAACTCAGTCTTCCTGGTTGTTCGCACGGGAAACTCTATATCGGCGCCACATTCTAAGAGAACATCTAGTGCCCCTGCATTACCACAGAGGATGGCGTGATGAACGAGGGTCCTCCCAAAGTGGGGAGTGTTGGGAGAGTGGTGCTGAAGAAGCATGCGAAGGATAGAACCGCTGGATTCGAAGTACTCGACTGCGCACCAGGTGACAGCATACGGCTCCGCTAGTCCAGCCCCCACCCGGATTTCCTCGCCCGTATTGGTGTCCCAGGACCAGGCTCCTAATCGCACTTTGGTGTCCGTTCTGATGCCCGCCTTTTTTTTCCAGCGTGCAATAAGAAAATTCACTAAATCAGATTATATCACAAGTCTAAACAAAACAAATGATTTTCTTCAAATGGAACAACCGATCATATTTTAATTTTTAACATATTTTGTTTCAATTGAAAAAACGAACATAAATATATAATAGAAAATATAATAACATTGCAATACATGAATTAGGAGAATCAACCTTTATTCAAACAAAAGACTTGCCAAAAAATAGAATAAATTTAACTTTTAAAGTTTTAATACAACCAAACCGCATAAAATAACAATATCCGAAGAACCATTTATTTTTTTCCTTCATTTTAGCAACCAAAAGATATTAGAATGCAGATTGCTGACCCTAAAAAATATTATTTAGAGGATACTCTGGTCATTTAACCATCTGATATAGGCGTTATTATTTTCGAGCTTTAGAGGAGTTTTATGGAATTTTATGACACTGTCCAAATGAGTGATTTGGACGAAAATGTACGAACAATCATCAGACACGCCAATCCTGACAGACCACTCAATGCGTACCAAGTCCCAATGAGATCAAATCAGTTCATGTGAGGCTTGGGAATGTAGCCCGTTGAAGGGGAGTTTAATCTTTTCTCACAATGAGTGCTCAGACGGTGCTGTTAATTTTCTGCAGCAAATCGTCCAGCTACCAAAATCCAAATTCGCAAAATCGGAATATGGTTATTCTGCAATGCTGATCCAGTCCCCCCCTACTACTCGCCCTCCCCCTATAAATCACATCCTGCCCGTGAATTTAACATCGATTCTAGGTCAGATGCATTCCCCCTGATTGGGACTATAAAATTGATCTGGCTGATTGGTCATTCTCCCATTATTATTCAAAAAACACACCAGCCCAGCAGCCCCACCGGCTTGACACTCATGACGTGTACAAATACAATCACGAATAAACACATCAGCGACCGTACAATTATCAGAAATACAGCAATTGACGTGTTTATTCATGATTGGGCTACGTAGCCTGTTTTACACGTCATGTTTGTACCAGATCCGGAGCCAGCACCAGTTTCATTGGACTCAAAATCTTTTGCCTCGTTACAACAGAACACTGGTAGAATTACCTGTAGTAACAAACGAACGACGGATGTCTGTCTGCTGACGATGGCCGCCACAAGAGCGGTACAATCCACGTTAGTATGCAGCGAAGGCCTTGACGATTGTAACAGCACACGGTCGGTGGCATTCGCATCTACTCCACACTGCCATTTGCCCGAGAAAAAAAAAAGTAGAATTTTATTAAAACAATATCCTCAAAATAAAAGTTAAAATTAGAAAAAATAGATCTCTACCGGAGCTTAAAACAAAAAACAAAAAGGAGATCATTTAGGCATCTTTGGATAGAGCCCTAATCATCACACAAACGTGTCAAAACAGACAAGCTTCCCAAAACAAAAAATGCATAAAAAATGGAGAGACCCACCGAGGTGGGACGTGTGTAAAGATCTCGGGGCTTGAGCTGTTAATTATGCAAAGATAACATGTAACCCCGAAAGAGAGGCCCATCCCAGTTGGGGCAGTGCAAGCCACAGCTATCCACAAATATAAAACAGCAAAATTACACGTCTTACATGGCCAGAGGTTCTAAATGTACAAAATGGCCCTTAGATTAGGTACCCACATAGATGTTAGGTAAGCCCACATTCATGGGGCTGTATCCCCCTGTAGAGAATACGATTAAAAAACAAAACAAAAAAAAAAAGCCAATGCAGTGAATTATTCAATATTGAATCCAAAACAATGCACTGCAATACATCAAACTACTGGAATACATCAAGAATAACACATCAATTAGGTGAGTGGTAAAGACTAGTTGAATGTAAAAGCGGAAGTAACAATGATAGAACCGATGGTTCTGGAAGAAAGGATGGTTTACCTTCATGAGAGTGTCCACTACATCCACAAACCCTCTGCAGCATGCGATGACTAGCGCATGGACTGCAACAGAGGGCCGGATCAGATCTGAACGCATGAGAAGCTCAGCATGCCTTGCCCGTCCAAGGCAACTGGCTTCTAACAATGCCTCCTCACATGCCGGCTGCGATGCCCCAGCTTTGATCAAGATCTCCAAGATCTCAAGGTGGCCCTCCCTCACTGCCGCTGTTGTCGCATAGCCCCTAAATAGCTTTTGGTTCACATCGGCCCCCACACTCTGTAATGAAAAAATTCAAGTAGATGGTGAATACAAAACTTGCATCACAGACGATAGTTTGAATTCTGTCAACACTCAACAGTACAAGAGGAAAACTAGCATCATAAGATGATAGGTTGGATTACTGTTAAAGAGTACAAGAGGACATTTTCATGTACGACGAAAAGAGGAAGGAGTGATAGTGATTAGTGACGCAAGCATTGTGGCAAGGAGACGTCTTATTAAATACTAGTACTTGGATAGGATGTTGCCATTCACTTTAGAGGACATCAAATATTTGGTTGGCTCAGGTCAGAGATGATAGGAAATGGGGTTTTTGCACATCAGTGACGGCCTGATGGGATATTGCAATGCCAAAAGAGTTGGCCGATCACACATATATGCTTTGCAGCCATTGCCTAAAGTCTTGAACACTAATTTAAATATAGGTTACCCAATAACAAGGACAAACTTTTACGCGGCAAAGTAATATCAGGGTTCATATCACGATGTGGCAAAGTCTAATGAAAATAGTTAAAAAAGAAAATAAATAACATAATTTAATGATAGAAAATGGAGTAAAAAAGAAATAGCAAAGAACCAAGACATCCGTGCATGATTCACTATACATAGCTTTTTATTTTCTTTTATTTTTTAATCAAAAGATCAAGCTTGCAATTAGAAGCAAGACTGATGGTCCATTTTTTTTAAAAAAATCACAGATAACTTTAATCAAAACACTGAGTTAGCCACTGGAACATGTCTATGAAAAATGTCCAAAACAATGATCTCGATGCTCATGCTAGAGATGATCCTAGCCCCACCACCGACCCCCCAAAAACGGCAATTAGAAACTCTGGTGCTTCTGTATTGCACATAGAAACACATGATAGATCCACAATAAAACAAAATGGTATGTATCCCACTGGTGACGTATATTTTCCTGGATGCATATGTTATGAATCGAACAGCTGTTAGAGCAAAAGGTCACCCGAATCAGGAGATGCTGTCATATTATTATTAGATTGTTTTCTTACTGTTACAGTTCACTCTGCCATGTTCAACACACAGCTGTTCCCTGTTTGACCAATACGTCAAAAGCGTAAAGAGTTAAGACCATGAATCGTGTCAAACCACCACACTTAGGAAGTAGCAAACCACGACACTTCCTCAGCCAACCTCTCATTGCATTCTGGGTAGCTCTCACTTTCGGCAGGTAGCCTTCTCCATGATCCGAACTTCAGACTTGGTGATGGGCTTTGATACCATGGGTTACATGTTTCATCACTTTTTTTTTTAATCAAAGGTAACTTTGTAATCAAGAAGAAACAAACAGAAGCCTCTCTTGGCTTCAGTACATGTTTCATCACTATGCTATGCTAAAAGCCTTAAGACTGATGAAAGGCGTCAAGTCACGCATTTTAACATTTAGGACCACATTTTAACATTTAATACCATATCTGCAGCAATGTAGGCTGGATCTTGACGAGTACATTCCACATTTAAACAAGAAATGATTTAAAAGAAAGAGGAGGTAAAATACAAATTTAGAAAAATAAAGTTGTGATGTTAAGAAGTTATGGAGGCAATCACTTGAAATGGAACCTATTGGAGGTGGACCCCCAACGTTCATGGAAGAGACACGTGATAGTTAAAGAGGAACCCCCAAAGTTCTAATCGAGAGGACCCAATAGAAAACACTTTTGAATAATATTTTTAGAAGATTATGAAAATTAGATTGATGATTCCTTTACATTGGTAATTTAACTAGTTTTATCACCAAAATCTCGATGTAACTGATAAACACAAAATTTCAAGCATCAAGGCCAGTATCAGCATTCAGCAACGGAGTGTGTGGTGTGAGTATAATTAAGGAAATATTTGTGTGAACATACATAAAACTAAAACAACCAACTTTCTAGTCAAATACGAGCTAAAGAGAGATTAAAGAGGAAAGCGGAGAGCGAGACAGCGAGAGAGGGATTTATCTTAGAACTCAAGAGACATGATCGCCTGACAAATCTAAAATACAGGACGAGGAAACAAGGAAAAAAAAAGGAACAATAGAACCCCGACAACGAAAAAAAAGAAGGAATAAAGACCTTCAAAATGCAAATAAATTGTTCGTGGGAACTTAAACCTTAAGCTCAAAAAGTTTCCGTCGTTTTCAACTTTTAAAAGCAAAACAGGAGAATTAAGTACGCATGAAAACCTCCTACTTTTAGCAAATCTTGTCCCGGCAATTGAGTCCAAACATTCAAGCTTAATAGAAGATTGTAATATTTAAGTAGAAAAAACCTACCTTAATTCAAAATTTGAACAAATCACCATGTTTCAAAATTTCTGAATTCAAACAGAAAATGCTTTTCCGCGTGAAAAGTGAGCTGAAACCCCAACTAAAAAGGCCAAATGCGAAAAACCAAGGGAAGCACAGAAAGAACCCCAGAGAAATCCTAATTCCCGCAGAACATGCAGAAGTGAAAAATGAAATTCTGTCCAGAGAACAAATGTCAAAGAAAAATGCAGAGAAAAAAACAGGTAGCAAAGGAATGGAATGCTCCAACATCGCCAATGTCCTCTGCTTACAATACAAGTGATAAACGAACAGATGCAACGAGCTTGAGAGATGCGAATGGCTTACCAGTAGTTTCCGCACCAGTATCAGATTTCCAGCATGAACTGCGAGAAACAACGCCGTCACGTCAGTCTTGAACTCCTCGTACTCGATCCGAACTTCATCGGCGGATTCATCATGTAGTAGAACCTCCGTCTTCCGCGACTTGAGGCAAACGGCACCGATAAAGTTCACATCTACGTAAGAATCGGCGATGCATTCTAATGCTGACTTTAGATCTCCAGAGTGCGAGGCTTCAACTAGACGCTGAGAGACTTCTGTCTCGTAATCGACCGGAAAGACTTGCTTCCCAGCGAGAAAACCTCCACTGGAGTGACCGAAGACCGTCATTCTTTTGGAGATGGATTGACAAGTTTTCCGGCTAATCAAGCAGCAACTTCAGGCGCCGGAAGTCCAGAGAGCTGGCATGGATTCCCGCACTTTCTTGGCTATTCTGTGTATATCTGTCTTGCCCCTGTTTCCCGGTTTGGGAGTTCAGAGTTGAGGCTTGGGAGAGAAAGTGAGGAAAACTTGAAAGCAGTGAGCGCCAGCCAGGGGGAGGGAATGGCGTGCCTTTTATTGGTGATGTTTGACTATGGTTAAAAAATATTAACCCGGAGGGTTAGGGTTTTTCTTTTTTATCTTCTTCTCCATACACCATACTGAAATGGGGCCCACCAATCTGGAGTTTTTGTTATATGTATATACACTACCTGATTCAGTGATCCTGATCTGACTGACGAGAGGAAGAATTGTTAAAATTAAAATATACAGATAGACTACAGAAAAGCAGCGATGTGGTTAGTCTTTTTGACTGTGTGCTTCTGCAGTGTAGGGTAGAGTGTAACAGTCCTTGCAGAGCACATGCCAATCGAATCCATAACAGTATAACCCACTGGGTCCCATCATCCTTGTGAAAAAAGATTGAATCAGACGGCGACCAGTTTATCTATCTATCTATACAGCAAAATTTTAGGATTCGGAGTCCTCGCACCGCCCTCCTTAGGCTGTCCTACAAAGAGCTTTGGTTAAGGATTATAGCAAGTAGAAACACCATCATGCTTGTGGAGTGTCAATGCATATTATCAATCTCCCATAACAGAAGTCCCAATCAGACGGTCTAAATCACAAAACAGCAAGGCATAACAGTAGTTTCATTGTAATTGTGCAGACACCTGATGGACCGGTTGATTGATATCCAAAGAGAGTACCCACGTGCATCAAGCCCGTCAAAGGTTTTAAAGCGCTGGATGAGTGATATTGAAGCCAATCACCACTGGGTGGGTCCATGGAGGTGGGGATTGAGATGAGTCAAGATTTGACCGAAATATCTAACTTTTTCAACGGTGATAACTGTCGAAGAAAGAAAAAGCGAATGGTGGGTGATCAGAGAAAACCGAAAACGCTTTGGACAAGGTGGGCCAACTTTCGCAAGTCGCCACTCGCACGCAAGTGTTTTTTTATTTTACCTTTTTTTTGTTATTTAAAGAGGAATTTTCTTTCGAAGTGCGAGATGGGCTGGGGCCTCATCTGAGGGTCAGGATTCATCACGCTACACCCTTCTTAGTGTATTGTATCCCTTCCGCGAGGCAGTTGAGGCGGAACGAAGCCGGAGTCGCAGGCGAAATAGCTTGCGAGATAGGCCGTGGATATCGGGTCAGCTAGTCAACTCACACGAGTGGTGTACGGACATGTGGATATCGGGCTTCTATAATTTATATAATTACTTTATTAACCCCCGTTACAGTGTGATAGATTGTTGCCTCGTTCAAAGCAAAAAGAGAAGAAACACAGGTCCGGAATCTTGAAGTAATCGCTCGTCTTATTACGATTAATTTTGTTATAAAATAAGGGGTGATTAGTATTTGCTGTTACAATTATTATTTCTTTGAGACAAAGAGATGAATCCATGCATCTTAAAAGCATCACCGGCACTGTCAGCTCCGAACTTAGAGAAATAAAACAAGTAAATGCTAAGTATAAAGAAGACAACAGAGTAAGGGGTCAACAGTGTAATCCATTCAATATCTTAGACGGCAAGTCAAGACTCAATAAGAAGGGAAGGAGAGCAAATGATCCAAAGGGACGGAGTGACAAACTAGGGAGACGTCATTCGTCAACTCAAGACTCAAGAACTTATGTTACGTCCCAAAAGAATTTCTTACCAGTGAAACGTGGGCCGGCTAAAAATAAAATATCAGTTTTAGCCTTCTTTTCGATCTAACGGTTGACAGCTCGTCAAGGATGAACAATAGCAGAGAGGGTCGAATACGCAAACCCTAGGCCGAACCGCCGAAGTCCAGTAGTTTGTGTGACTTTCATGTGATGCGTGGAACATTGAAACTACCTCTCTGACTATCTTCCCTTCCTTTGCGTGGAGATATGAGGCCGTCTGATGAAGTTGGAATTACCGAACTTAACTGAATGACTTAATGCCCTACCTCTGCCTTTGATGAATGATGATGAATCCCTCTCCCAATCTCCCACCAACGACAAGAAGCCATGACTCGGCGTATTGGTGTGTACGTAGACCCTCTCAGCTTTAGGTCATTCTTCTTTGAAGCTGACACGCGTTTTTTTTTTTGTCTGCTCCAAGCAGTGCCCATTCTGTCAATCGAATATACAATCTTGGAAGGGCCAGGGTTCATTGCCCAAAACATCAGTTGCAGGGACACGTGTATGGCGTGAACCTTCTTAAGTACTTCGCCATGTGCCCAAGCCCAACTACAGCTCCATGACACATCTATGATATACTGCTATAAAAAAATGAGAATAACTATTCAATGTTTCCTATATATCAAAAAAAAAAAAAACACTATGTTCCTCGATTCTTCCTCGATTAAAATACCTTTTTTTTTCAACTTGACCCTTCTCTAATGTAAAGATAGAATAATAATTTTAATTAGTATTTTCAATATGCCATTGATTCAACCGGTTAAATGGTTCGAATCATCATCTATTCATGATTTTGGGTCCGATTTTACTAAGACCTGAGAATTGGTTAAAAATAGTTTAATCCAGGTTGTTGGACCATTGACCTCTTGATTCGATGAAAGAGTCACAGGTTATACATTAAATGTGCATCTAAATTTTTAGATATCATAATTTTTGCATTTTGATATTTAATTTAAAAGTTTTTTTTATTTTAAATAATTTTTTAAGATCTATGCATCCAAAGGGGCTATAGGTGTATCGTCCCACTATTTTCATTAAAAAAACGTTTTTACAAAAAATTCCACTTTTTTATATTTGTTACAAATAAAAAGGTTAAAGTGCATTAAAAATATAAATTAAATATAACATAATGCATATATTTCATGTAGGGGTGTCAATTGGACTGCATTTGATTTAGTCCAATGTGAATTCATTACAAATGGACCAGGTTCAATCCAATCCAATGAATATTTTGGACCATTTTGAACTGGGCCAATTCAATGTTTAGACCGCCTATTGACACCTATATTCTTATCTTCTATCAATGGACCAAATATTGACTCAATCCAACCCGATCTAATATAAATTCAGTAGATGGACCAGGTTCAATCCAATCCAACATTTTGCATAAAATGGATTAACCTATGATGTCATAAATAATAAAACATGAAAAAATGTAGAAAACAATTAAGCACGTCTATAATATTATATATTCATCATAATAAACAAAAATCTATGTGAAAAATAAGAATTATTTTTATTAATGATGAAAATGAAATACAAAGTTTAAAATCAACCAAAAAGAAAAACAAATTTTCTCTTTAGGTGATGACTAAGCTATTCAACTATCTAACTCAAATGGGTTAACCCTGGATTTCATAATTAAATAATAAAATTTTCAAAATAGATAGTGTGATAAATTAAAAATATATAGAAGTTTTCTAAAAAACATGGGGACATGCCTGAAAATATATAAGCATATTAGAAGATAAATGTGATAAATAAAAATTATTTTTATGAAAGATGGAAATAAACTACAAAATTAGGAAAAAAAAAGACAACATCCAACCTCTGACCCTACTAATTGGATTGGAAAGTTTAATTAAATCTGTGTTGTTGATCAAGTCATTGGTGTTTTTATACGCAATCAGTTTAGTTGTAAATAGCCCCAAATTTTTAGTTGGATGACAAGTAGACTTGTTCATGGGCTGGGTAGCTCGATGGCCTGGCCCGGCCTGGCCTGCACCCCGGTCGGGCTTGGTCATGTAATTAGGCCCGCGGGCCTAACACAGTAAGCCCGACTATGTTACGGGTCGGGCTCGGGATTTGTCAATAAAGCCCAGACCGAGCCTGGCCCGACCCGACTCAGCATTATATATTTTATAAAATACATAATATGTATTTTATATAATATATAAAATATATAAATAATGAAATATTTATTGAAATATATATTTATAATTTAATATATACATTTTTTATTTTTTTTCTTTATAATTTCTCTCTCACTCACTCTCTCTCTCTCTCTCTCTATTCAGCCACTTTAGCAGTAGTAACAACATGGGATAAATTTCGAGCTCGGGCCCAGGCCCGGGCTTCGGACTTTTTATGAGGGCCAGGCTTGGGCCCAAGTTGTAGGCTCGTTGTTCAGATCGGGCTCGGGCTCGGGCCTTAGAAAAATCTATTAATACAGAGTGAAAGCTTGGCCCGAGCCCAACCCATGAACAAGTATAATGACAAGTCAACTAATCCAATTAGTTGACATGACTAAGGGATTAAAAACACTGACAACTAAAAAAAAACAATGTTTTAAACATAAATCACATTTCCTTCTCAATAAAATAGGTCAACTTGTGATTTCATGAAATCATTGCCATCATCATCAAAGCCTTATCCCAATTATACCAGTCCGAATGAGTTGGAGACAAAATCATACACACCTAGTTGAACTACCTATCACATAGGGGTGGCAATGAGTCGAGCTTTTCACGAGCTGCTTGAGCTCGGCTCGTGAAAAGCTCGACTTGGCTCGATTTCAACCGAGATCAAGCCCAATTTAGTGGCTCCCCTCTTTAAACAACCCACCCCCCCCCCCCCAAAGCCCGCTGCCCCGCCCCCTTTATATATATATATAATAAAATATTATAATTATTAATTATTATAATTCTTAACTTTTTTAAATATAAAATAAAAATAAATAAATTTTGTTTTTATAAAATATTTTTTCTAAATATTTTTATAATAAAATATTTTTTTATTTTATTATAAACTTTTGACTCGAGCCGAGCTCAAGCTCAAGGTTCTGGCTCGAACCAAGCTCGAACTCGAGCTCGAACCTTGTAAACTAGTCTCGAGCCGAGCTCGATCCTGATACTATTCGGCTCGGCTCGGCTCAAATCCACCTCTACTATCACAGTTAAACACGCCAATACTCACTGCGGGCCCCAACTGGGACCCAGCTATACTGAACACTAGAGTGTTCAACCGTGATAGATAGTTCAGCCGGGTGTGAATGTTTTTGTCTCCAATTAATCCGCTCTCCGACCATATTGGGTTGACTACAAATAGGAGTGGATATGGGCCGTGATGAGCCAAATATTAAACTATTTGAACTCGGTTTGGATAAGAAAGGGCATAAGGCTTGAATTTGGGCTCAAGCTCATTTCGATCTAAAAATACTAGATCGAATTAGGCTCGACTCGAAAAAACTTATATGTTCAATCTCAATAGTAAATAAAAAAAAAAAAAAAAAACAACAACTCATATAAAAAATTTCTAATTGAAATACAAAATCAAAGGAGAAAAAAAGGAAACCCTTCAGAGCATGGGACATATTCGTTCCAGCTGCTTTGTAGATTGGGTGGAGCTCAATCCATTTGTCCTCCATATTTCCAACACATGAGCCCCGCTTTTCAAATAGGGTCCCATGGGCTATAATCTTTTAAAACCACGAATCTACCTGAAGCACCAAGCAAATCAGAAATACAAAAGCTGGTCCATGCAGATGATAACAAATTTACAATTGTTTTTTATGAAAACAAAAAAGGAAAGAACTGTTCTCCCTGCAAGAAGCTTGGTTGTTTTTAAATTGTTCAGGCGCCTCTACACTTGTATGTCGTCATCAACTCTTTTTGTCTCTGCAATTTACTTAAGGTGGCTTCCATGAATTTAAAACTGAGTTGGCTCTTTGTTACAGAGAAAGAATAAGAATTTCTCTTCGGACGATAATTGATCCATGTTCCCAACCCCACCATTCATGTTGCTTCTTGCTTGTATATTAGAGTCCCCGACTTTAAGCAAATATGATTTTATGTCATTTGGAATAATCTCCATGATTCTCTTTTCTCTTTTTAATCAGGTAGCCCACCTTTTAAGTCATAACCTTTTCTCTTTCTTCAGAGAATCAAGTGACAGCGATCCAAAACTTGGGAACAAATATATGAAGATTACAGCCATAAGTAACCAGGAATCGATTACAACCCACAATGGGCACTCAATCAATTCAAAAGTCTAATGTAATATATAAGGCTGCTCGAAGGCAGAATACGAACCACCAAGGATTTCAAATGGCATGGATTCCATTACCTTAGTTTGAATTTGTAATTTGTGGACATTAGATGAAGCATGGAATTTTAATTTAGTAAATTCCAAAAGCGGTTAAATCCCGCCAATTCATGCAAATTTGAAATCCATTCGGACTTTGGGAAGGTAGTAATTTCGAACACCCTCTCATAGCTAATTAGCTATAGATGTTATCTAAGATTTTATGTCTTGGATAAAATTCTTAAATCTCATAAACCAGAATAGATTTCTAATTCCATATCTGCAAATGTCAATACGTTGGGCCATCCTATTACCCCCTATCTCTTTCCGTGACTTCTGTCACGACAGAAGTTGGTATTCAGATTGGATCCAGACAGGCGAAGAGTAGTTGAAGTCGAAAACATGTTGACCCGTTGACCTCATGCTCCTAAAATATAAACCGGGAAAAAAATCATATAGAAGACTTTTTTAATAGTGAACCAAACTAGACTTTTTATGCACGTATGTGCCAGGAATATTCTTTAGGGTGGGCCAAGTTAAACAAAAAAAAAATGAAACAGGCAATAGAACAAATAGGATTTGGGGAAAATAGCTTAAGAATGTTTGGATTTATTACAGATTTTTAAAGATTTTTTTTTTTTATTTTGGACATTTTAGGAACTTAGAGAGTGATCTTTTACATTTTAGTTTAAGTTTTGAAGGGGGCTAAGGACCCACTTTATTATGTTTTTGACCCAGCCTATATTAAGTAACCATATAAATAACGGAGAAGTACACTACAGCCCACTGTAGAATTCTGAAATTACAGCCCCCTATAGTCTACTAGTAGCCCCCTTATAAACCGCATCCTGTCCGTGGATTTGGCATAAATCATGGTCATGATTCATCCCACCTGTACGGTGGGCCTAAAAATTCTGAGGTGGGCTGAACAGTCATTCTCCCTGTAAATAATGGTTTTAACAAAAAAGTTTGGGGGGCAAGGACCACACCAATATAATTGGCTCACCGCTCACCCCATGCCTGTATGTATATTCAAGATAGACCTGTTCATGGGCCGGGTAGCCCGATGGATCGGCCTATTGTTTTTCGAGCTTGGACAAACTTTCAAGCTTCTAGGCTCGGGCTTTCTCAAATAAACCCAGCCCAATACTATTATTATAATAAAAAAATACTTATGTTATATATAATTATAATATATATTTGTTTCTTAAATTATTAATAAATATTAATTTACTATTAGGAAATACAAATTAATTTATTAATTTATTAAATTATTACTAAATTAATATAATATTAGTTTGTAAAAATACATTGAAAATAAGACATTTTGTGTACAAATCAAGCTTCGGGCTTGGAATCAAGCTTTGGACTCAAGATCTAAGCCTGATGGTTGGACCGGACTCGGGCTTGGGCCTGCACATTTTCTGTTGATAAAGAGGCCCAGCCCATAAACAAGTCTATTCTTGCCAAAAACAGAGTCTGAAAACATCAAAGTTGTGTAAAAATATAGCAGTTGTTTACAAAACCAACCATCTTGTCGAACACTCCTAAAGACTTGGAATTACAACTATTGTCCATCGGACCTTATACCCTACTGCTGATTCCGGCCCTCCCATTAGGACACCCTGCTAAAACCAAGCTTGTTGGTTGTTGAATTGAAGATTTCGTCCAATGTGACCTCTAGCTTTATACTAGTTTGGATGCATAGTAGTGCCAAGCGTCAACTTTTTTTCTTGTCTTGAGCTTTGATGTGCCACGTAGGTGACCCTCTTTTAGGCTTTTACTGAAAGCCGAAAAGAACAAGTAGGCACGAGCGATAATATCAGCACTCAGCGGAGGGAGGTTGCGCTTGCGCCTCAAGAGACCTAACTGAACTGTTCGAGATGGATGACTCATGCATTAGTTCAATGCAGCTATTTGTTGCAATACCCAGTAAAACAGAGAGGACTCCTCGTTCGTTCTAAATTTAAAACACCTGATTTTTTGGGTTCGGTCGTGGCATGTCCATTCATCAAATGGCCCACGAAAAAAGCCACCTTCCCCGTACGCCCAAAACACACTGGAGGATTTGCTCTAAGAATGAATGCATTTAAAAAAGTTGAGACATGGCGAACTTCATTCTGTTTTTTATACAAAGACAACAGAAAAAAAATACACACAAGCATATTAGGAATTTTTGCTCGTCTGTTTTACACCGTTATACTTCGACCTGATACATCATACAACACCATGGGGATTTAACGTTCGTCCGTTGGGAATAAAATAATGAAACAAATGTCATGAGATAGTAATTAGAGAATAACTCACCGTCTGCTTTATCACTTGCTAGCCAAGGAAAAGGTCAAATACTTAAAGCTAAACTGCTAGGAATGCATGTTAACCTAGCTGCAGGCTGACTATTTGATTGAAGAAATCATCAAGGATAAAGGTGGAGTTACCCAGAAAAATCCAATATAAAAGCAGCAGTCTACAAGGATACGTAATTAAACTAAGCAACATCTTTATCAAGAATTCACTCTTCATCGTCACCTTTCGACTTCTTTTTCTTTTTTTTCTTCACTTCACTTGCACTCTGGATATCTTGATCTTCCGTGTCTACGTCTTTGCTCTTCTTCTTTTTCTTCTTCTTGGTTGTTCCTTCCTGATCTGAGTTGAACCCATTCACAGCACCTAAACTTTCAGGAGCCTGAACATGATCCTGCTCCTGTGCCAACTTACGTTTCTCCTTTTTCTTTTTCTTTTCTGTTCCTGGTGAAGCATCTCCATTTGTAACAGCCATAGCCTCATCCACCACCATAGGCTCACCATTCACAGCAGCTTCATCTTTAGATTTCTTCTTCTTGCTTTTCTTTAGAGAAACTTCACCATCTGCATTTTCTGTATTTGGCGCAGTATCCTCATCATCTGTGAATGCATTGCATAGAGAAGAAAACACAGTGAAAAAAGATCTGAAGAAAGAGAGATCACCCGGGCACCAAAAACAATTGCAACATAATTGATATATATATATATATATATATACATACACAATACTTTTTTCATAACAGATCATAAGTGCATTCAAAATCCTATGCAAACCATGGCTTACAACCAATTGGTGTGTGTATTAATTAATTAGCTTTCTGATATGCTCACCTTTGTTCTGAACACTTTCAATAGCTGCTTTCATCACATCAACATTCTTGCGAGGTGCAACCCCCTTGTCATAAAAGTCAAGTCGTTCCTCAACCTGTTCACGGAGCTTCTCTCCAAAAACAGTAGTGTTCATCTCTGTATTTACAAATATTTTATGGGTTATCCAAAAAACATACTTCCACAGATAGTGGGAATGAAGCCATCATATCTGACATCATAGGAAATTTACCTGAGAAACAGTCAATGCGAGATGCAATAGAACATTTGTTGGCAAGATACCGAGCCATACGACCCTTATTTCTAGCAGATGCCCGGCCAATAAAAGACGAATGGAATATGAGGCCATACTTTGGTGTGTTCCCTCGTGTTTTTAATGCCCTGAAAACAATAGCAAAAACTTGAATTAAGGAAACTAGATTTAAGAAATAAAGTATTTGCAATTAATGTGATCAGATGACAAATGACTACAAATGGGTTCACTCTTTCTAATTGATCAATGGACATATAAGTTTCCTGAACGGGGATTTAATTCCATGGTGGTGGCAACATCTAAGAAACAAGAAAATTTATTTAAGAATGAATTCTTTTTTCAAGTCATAAACAATACATTCTTGAACATATAGAAGAAACTTCAAAGGTGTTCTGATCATTTCATTTGGCCTATTACAACATGAAGTGGCAAAAGAATACCGCCAAACTATGGGGGAAGTAATGCCTTTTGTTGGTAATTACTCCATTGCAATGATATGGACAAAGTATATCATACACTACTTTGTTTCCAAAAAGCAACAGAGAAATGGTACTCTTTTATTTCTAAAACCAACAGCTGACATTGCAGAGGATTAGTGGTATTCCAAATCATGAGATTCATGATTTGAATCGTATGATTCAAATCAAATCGGGGCTAAAACAATACAAATCATATATATATTGTACGATTTGTAAGCAAATCACTAGTGTAAATCGTAATTCATGATTCCTGGACGATTCATGCGATTAGAGTTTGAAAGCTTAAGATTAAGTTACCATTTAACCCTCTTCCTTTTAAAAGTTTCTCTTTTACATAGAGAGGCAGAATCGTCATTTTAGTTATAAAACATAGAATATCCACTTTGGTCGATCAACTTACCATTGAAGGAAAAGATTTCGGCGGGAGACTGGAAGAGAAGAAACCCTCCTCCATTGTTTCAGTGAAGCTCAAAATCTCCTCTACTTGTTTCAGTTGTTTGTGTTGAAAGGTAAGAGAATTTGTTTGTTTTTTTTTTCTTTCTTTCTTTCTTCTTCCTCCTCCTCTTCCTCCTTTCTTCTTGTCTTCTTGTCTTCTCCTTTATTTTAGTCAGTTTTTTGGCATGAAAATAGGGGCTACGCCCTATTTATTTCAATCGGTGTTTTGGCATAAAAACAGGGGCTCCGCCCCATTTGTTTCAATCATTTTTTGGCTTGAAAACAGGGGCTCCGTCCCATGTTTTTCATTCATTTTTGCATGAAAGCTAAGGATACCTAGTTTTGTTCTTTCTTTTTGAATAAAAACAGGGGCTCCACCCTATTACATTTTCCCCTTGTTTCATAATATTTTATCTTGATTTTTTTGCATAAAAACAGGGGCTCCGCACTTTTACTATTAACCCTCTTTCCATGCACAAACAGGGGCTTGTCCCGAATATTTTTACTTGTTTTCTTGCATGAAAATAGGGCTTTAGCCCTGATATATTCCCCTCACCCTTTTTCTAATCATAAAACAGGGGTTCACCCCCATTCTTCATTCTTTTTTACACATAAAATAAAACTGTATTATGCAAAAACAAAGGTGTATTCGCACTTTGTAGGTTAAAACAGGTTGCTTTCTATTGTGCAAAAATAGCTTCCTTTTTTTGCTAATGTTAAAATAGGTTCCATTCCATTATTTTCACTCTCAGTTTTTATGAAAAACAGGGATATATTCTATTTTTTCACTCTTTTCTAACATGAAAACAAGGTTCATTTGTTTCTTTCTTTCAATATTCTTATTAAAACAGTGGCTCCGCCCCATACACATGATATCTCTTTATACTCATTAATTTCAGAGAAATTAATTTCTTTAGTTGTATAACTTTCATTTGTAGGGTTTATCTCACTATTGTATAAATTGTATGGATAATTATTAATTGATGAATTGATATGCGTTGTTTGTTGCTTTGTTGAACACTTGACAGTTGAAAGTTAAAATTTAAAACAATAGAAACAAGAATCTATACTTGTAGATTATAGACTCTAGAAAACATTATGGTTCCTTTTAAAAAATTGTGGTTAATTCATATTTCATATCAAGATAATTAAATATATTACTTTTTATTGACACTAATGTAACTATAACTCTGTCATTACTATATGTTTATAAGATGTTTATGGGTTAGAAAGCTTGTGCAAAGACATTTTTTCTATTTTTTGAGAGATTTAGGTATATTTTAGAGTTTTTAACAGCTTTTGAAAAAATAAGAAAAAATCTTACGATTTACGATACAGCTCGATTCAAACACCTTTACGATTTTCGATACGATTGTGATTTTCAGAACATTGGGTATTACCATTGAGGCTTTTTTATTTCCACTAAAGCACTACCACTTTCTATTGGAAGTGAAGGTGCTGATAAAATACCTGAAGAGTGCCTTCTCAGCACCAAGAATTTGAAGAGTAGAAGCTGGGCATTTGGCCAAATTTGTGAGACTGCCAGCATGAGAAATCAAACGAGCCGCTACAACTTCACCAATTAGAGAAGCCAAATTTGGTGCAATGTCATTCATTTTAGTCACCAAATACTCATAAAGTTTCTTTCTATATTCAGAGAGGTCCATAACCCTCTGGGCGAATTGCTGGACATTAATCAAGTCAATTGGGGATAAATCTTGTCCTGCATAAATTAAAAACAAAATATGAATAAAAGATGAGAAATAGACTTGCCATATAAAATAATTTCATTATGTTTACCCATTGAAGCTTTTGCTGCTTCAACAATCTCTTTTGCCTTGTCTTCATCCCCAAGTATCTCAGCTAAGCCCGGGATTTTGTCCTCAGATAGTTCTGATTTGTCCTCCACATATTTTGCAACTTTGGCATAAAGATAGTTGTCATTGACAATCTTCACTAATTCAGGGAAATGCCATGAATACCACTCTCTGCAGGACAGCATCACAGTAAATTAATCATTTAAAGATAAAAAAATCAACTGCATCCTTTCTATACCAGAAACAACATATAAGCAGATAACAGACACAAGACCCATAAACCCTAATAATGGCAATTAACTATTTCAATGTCATCCAAATTTGATGCAAAGTTTATGGCCTTGAGTTTACTATGTGTTTTTTTTAAACGTAGCATAAAAAACATTCCAAAACTAGGCAATGTGAACAAGGAGAGGACAAATAAGATCTGATAGTGTTAGTGACAGAACCAAGCTACTGTTTGTGACATCATTTGAAGTATATTTAAGACTAAAGTTTACTTTAGACTACTACCAAACAAAAAAGGGCCACTAGAAAACAAAGATGGACAACAAACCTGACTCGCATAGAAAAGGAGTTGATATCTTTATCAAGAGTATCAAGGAGGAAGATTGCTTGAATAATCATATTGTCAACTCTGTTCACATTGAACTTAACCTTTGCCCTGCTGTAACTGTGCCCCAAACCAAGCTGAGCCTTTTCTAAGTCACCAGGCTGTATGAACAGAGGGCATCTAGAAATATCAGAAAGCTGAACAATTCAGAGAATATAATACCACCTACAATACAGCATCTGGAGAGAGTGACAGAGTGCATCACCTTAAGGTCCTTGATAAACCTGTCAAAATGCAATCGAACACCACGAAGAATCTCAAGCACAAACTCATTGCTCAGGCAAGGAATTTTAGTAACTTCTGAAATATGTGACCCAATCTTTGGCTCAGCAACTCCTAGTTTGAATTTGACCTGTTTACCTTCCTTAATTTTAGGGAGATTGAGTTCTAAAAAGTTCCTCAGCTCCTCGGTCATAAGTCCTGAAAACCATTATTAGACAAACCAGCAAAATGTCATAATTTTTCAATGTGAGTCAAGGTTATTAAAAATAGAGGGATAACGGGCAATGTACTCAAAAGTCAAAAGTGATATTGAATAAACAATTGGCTCATTAACAATCTAGTAGCACCAAATTTCCAAGCAACTAATTACCGAAAGTAGGGAAAAAAGCAACTAAGCATGTTGCCTTACCAAATAAAAACAACAATAACATCCGTTGAATCACAACAGCTAAATCAAAGAATAAATGAAGGAAATAGAAAACAGACCCATAACTTTTCGGTTTATTGTTTTTATTGCTGAGGTGGGCTAAATATCAGCTGTTTTAGAGCCACTGGAGACACACCACACTAAGATGCAATACACAAGAAGCAAAGGCTCCTGGACAATTAAACTTCAATGGATATGTAATTATATATTCAAAAAGCCTAGAAAATTCGCCAAAACAATATATTGATCATTGATCCCGAGCATGGGAGACTTTGAAACAACACACTTGTAGGTCCCAAGAAAACCAACTGCATTTAACACTGTAAAGCTCAGGTGAAGCATACAGATATCAATAAAACCATGTGACGTTCAACTAAAAGAACTTTACCAAAAACAAAATCTTTGACAACATGTAAAAAAATACAAGGCCACCAACTAAAACCAATAACAAGTAAAGAAATAGTAGCAAGCTCTGAACATGCATATCTAAAATTTACAAAATCTAGATAGCTCAAAGTTTCCACCTTCAGAAACAGCGTTGCATTGGTTTAGAGCGTCAAGTGCAGACTCGAATGGATAGAATGCTGCAAGCTTGACCACTTTCCCGAACCGATTTAGATCCACAACAGAACTCCGAACTGCTTCAGTGTTCTGTCCGATTTCATCGATGCCGTGTGCCAGAAAGAGGGCGTACCCAGAGGAAGATTCAAATAGTGCATACAACGCCATTGCGAAGAACAGATAGCAACCAGCGATTCCAGAGGGGTAGAAATAGGTGTTAAAAGTTGTCTTCCCCTGCTCTCCGGTTGTTTTAGGGTTTTGGAGGTAATGACATGCTCAGTCGTTTTACGAGGGGTTTAGGGTTTTTCTGAAGAGGATGTTATATGATATATCCTACTCTCGGTGTCTCCGTGCCTCGGGTACCATTCGTATTATTATATCGACCAGGACACCGAATTGAGAATTTGAGACCTGTTCACGGTCCGGGCGGTTCGGCCCATGAACATTTTACGCTACTTCGGGCTCGGGGCTTCGGGTCCATTCAAATTTTAATAAAAACAAACCCGAGCCCGGCCCATGAACTTTAAAAAATAAAAATTAAAGTCTTCAATCAAAATCTATGATTCAGCTGGTAATCAAGGCCTCGAGGGTCAAGAGATATTGGTGCATCATTCTGTGTTCAATGATTATTTATGAAGAAAATCCAGACGCGAAGAACAAACAAATATTTATCTTAGGTAAATCGCGACCACTATATCGGGCTCAATGACTTACCCCTGAACCTCAATTTTCACTTTGCGATAAATACCCCTCTTTTAGAGTTATGCTATTTAACTTCAAAAACGATTATTCAGCTATTTAATTTTTTTAATTCATAAATTATTTTTTTATTTATTTGAATAATTTATGGTTTGATTATTTTTCTAAATATAATAATGAAATCTTCTTGGTTTCTCCAATAAATCCTCACTAATTTCTATTTGGATTTAGTATTTAAATGAAAATGGTATAGAGGTTTATTTTTTATGGATATAAATTTAAGGTTTAGTTCGATTTTTATTAAGGGCAGTTTTTTTAAACTACTCTTATATTTAAATTAATTGATTAAGTATATCACTGCTGTTTGATTATTGTCTAATACTATCTCTACTGTTTTAGAAAATTACTGTTGCCGCTAAAATATTGATGAAAAGCCTGAAATGTCCGTTTTGCCCTTAAATGAAATCCGAAGCTCCCGTTCGTCTTACTCAGTTTGGTCTTCACTTCCAGCAGCAGCGGTTGGCGGTGCCCCCGCCATGAATCTCACCGTCAGGCGTTCATCCTGTAAGAGAAAAGCTAGAAGAGTTGGCCGTCGCTGACCGCTGGGTAGGATCATTAGGAACATCTCAGTCTGATCAGGATCATCTAGCCCCGCCATCAATCTCATCGTCAGACGACCACTACCTGTCTCCACAAAGAGATGGCCGCCGATCTATTTAAAATCAAATTAGGGGTATTCCCAACGGCACTTTGTACCCTACCTGTGTTCTCTCGATTTGCTCTGGCGCTCTGTACCCTCTCAATCTTGACACAGTGGAGCAGCAGTACTCCCTTCTCCCCTCTGACCTCTTTTTCTCTCACTCTATTGCTATGTACTCTCACTCTATTTCTCTCACTCTATTCCATCGAGGCCCCGCTATGATCTCAAACCATTCCCTTTTACCTTCTTCCATGCTTTCATCCACTGACCAAATTCTCTTCCACCACACCAATCCAGTGGTCTTTGATTGGTTCAAACCTAAATAGGGTATGTAGAAACGATACTTTCTCTTGCAAACACAACATCTGGTAAGTCTTCACCCAATTCACTCTTTTTGTTCTCGAAATCAGGAGTCTTCGTTGCCATTCGGTTGATAGATCGAACACATATGAAACAGACATACTTCAGAAGTTGTCGGGGAAAAGCAAGGAGAAGATCCATAACCAATCTTGGAACCCTTAAACCTATACTTCTTCTCTCTACATCTTCTTTGGTGTGAGGAAGAGAAGAGTGATGAAACATGAGAGAGAGAGAGACTGGAAGTGGAGGGGGCTATCCCCGTAGCTAGGTAAGGACCGAGCTGGCTCGGTTTGAGACTACTAAAAGGAAGAAGATTGTGAGGGTAAAAATGGGTCATAAAAAAGTTATATGTCACATGTGTACAAGTTTTGACGGAATATTAGCAGGTGCTAACGGTAAGAGTAGAGCTAGTCGATTGTTAGAAATAGTAGGGATATTTTAAGACTATTGGAATAGTAGGGGCAGAGTTAGTCAATTTCCTAAACCTTATTAACAAATTTGCTCTTTTATTAATTTATTGTAGAATGGAGTAGATAATTTTTACATTAAAAAAAAGAGACTAAAGAAACAAAATTGAGGTACTTTTGGGGTCGATTAGGGTTTGAGAGAAAAGGCAAGGGAAAGAGACTAAAGAAAAGTCTAGGTGGGTATTTTGATAATTTAATGCATTCCTTCATCTAACTTAATGGCCAAAGGGGTTTGTTGTAAATTGAAAGTTCACGAGGGGTAATCAACACAAACCCCTTGGTACAGGGGTGGGGGTCTTTATAATTTACCCTTTTCTTTATTTCATAAACATTTAAATGATACACCTTTTTAGGAGTGCTCACGGCTCAATTAATCGAACAGTGGGCTTATTTTTTAAACTGAGTTGGTACTATCAATTTATGGACAACCAGTAAATGAAACCAAATCAAAGCCGATCCATTAACTAATTTACCAGTTTGGTTAACCGTTAATTCGGTTTATCGGGTTTTCAAATGTTTATATTTGTAATGTATATTATAAAATATATAATAACAACTATAAATACATGCAAAATATTATATTATAAATATATAATACATATTTATTAATTTATAATATATAGATAATATAAAATATATAATATATAAAAATATATGTATACCGGTTGGTTTGATTAACTGCCATTTTTTATATTTGTTAACCGAAATCGAACTAACCGATTCGATTAATTGGAATTTTTAGTTTGATATCATCAAATTGGTTAGATTCGATTTTCGGTTTTTCTTGCTCACCCCTAAAAGCTTTACCTTATTTGTATTTGCTCAAATTTGGGGCAAGCAACTCCAACATCAATGTATAGACCAATGGCCCAAAACAATCCAATAAGATGGTATAGTTCAAATTTGCAAACCCAAGTGGTCAAGCCCAACTTATACTTAATCCGACACAAATTGGGTTATAAATTTTTTTTCCCTCTTTTGCAGCTATTCTTTTTATTCGAACTCTATAATTTACAAATATATATAATGCAAAACCATGAATACAGTATTTATAAACATTGTATTTGTACTGTACATATATTTTATTTGCACTGTTTTTCAATAATGCAAATACAAATATATTAAGTGCAAATACACATGTTTGAATTAGTTGTACAATGTAAATAAACTCTAAATGCATATAATGACAATGTGATCCGTTATTAACCCGGCTGGTCAAACTGTTCAACCCATTACGTGGCATGAAAAATGAAAATGTTTTTCAACCCCGGAAAAATACCAAAAAAAACATTGGCTTCGATATAAGAAAAAAACTGTTGATTCCAAAGGTTACACCAATGAATCACATTTATCTATGTGTTTAGTTTTGTGGGCGTTTTATGGATGGGTGTTTCTTGAAAAATTACTTTTATTAAAAAACGTCACTTTAAACATATATATTTTTTTGTTATTTGGTTGAGTGCTTCCAGTAACACTTCATGATGCCATCTGCCACCTCAATTTACAATAAATGTTTTTAATTTTTATTATTTGATTGGGGCATTTCAAGCAATACCCCATAAAACAATACAATGTGACATTGCTTATCTATATTGGAGCACCATCATGCTCATCTAATGGTCTAAAGTACTCATATATATTGATGGTGCGCAATCCGGCCGATCCTAACTGTCAACAACCTTGCCTCTGACTGGAGCAATAGAGGGCCTGAAACGGAGAAAAAAGCAGGGAATCTCCGGGGAGGAACCCGGTGAGATTACTCCGAAGCTCAAGTTAATATTCTCTCAAAGGCAAGATAAAACCAGATGGCGCAAAGTTCACATACCTTGTTCTTGGGGGGTAGAGAGCCTTTTATAACCACTTCACGCACTCACTCCTAAGCTTCAGTCGGGTCGGGTATGATTGCCTCTACTGGGGCAGAACCGCCACTGCTCTCTTTGTCGGAGCCGTCTCTGTAACTAGAGATGGCAGTGGCAGGTGGTGGTGGCAGGTGGTTGTTGAAGTGCGGCTGTCACGCGTTAGATCCCGAGTCAGTCAGGTGCGCCGCCCCTGGATACGGACTCCTTCGGTGTCAGGTATGGTACAATTGTTTGGTTCGGCGTCCTAGAGGCGAAGTGCTGGAGTGGTGTGCGAGGCGAAGTCTTGAGTTTGGATAGAGGTGAGGCCTGAACTGCCATGGGGCAGGCCAGTTCGGGTTGTTGCCATTTGTGTTCGTAAGGCTCGGGGCCTAAGGGAGAGCTCGGGCACCTTACGGGGAGTTCGGGCTCCTTGCAGGGAGTTCGGACTGTTGGTTCCTCCTTTCAGAGCTCGCGCCTTGGCGTGCTGTTGTGTCGAGCTGTTGCATTTGCCACGTGTTGAGTGGTTACAAGGTCGGGCCAAATCTTCCTTCATCAATTGTTCCCCACTACTCGCGCTAAGGGTCTTGCCCTGGCGCAGGGAGTTTATGAGGTGGCGGGTGGATTTTTCCCGTACTTTGAATTGGTTGACTGATAGCGTGAGATGCGCATCATCAGGATTTTTTCGGGTTTCTCGAGCGCCAAAAAGACAGGAAACGCGCCAATCTCCCTATAAATGCTGATAGACGTGACAGCGCGCGCTTTATTTTAAAATTCAAAAATCGCGCCGCTGGGAGACGTGACAGCGGGCGTCTTTTCAAATTTAAAATCGCGCCGCTACCGCCTTTAATGCGAGGAGACGTGCGCTGACGCTCTTTTCAGTTCCAAGAGACATGTGCCAGTCACGTCTCGGTCTCAAGAGATGTGCGGTCAGCGCGACTGCGGGCCGTTGGTTTGGCTTTGATCTGAACCGTTGATTCTCGGTTACTGTGGGTATAAATAGTGGGGGACCCCAGTCGTTGTCATTATCCTGCGTTTTGCTTCTTCAGCTCGCGTTCACATTCCCGTAGTCCGTTTGCTTTTTTCCGAGTGAGTACTTTCCTGGAATTCTTCTTCTCCTTTCGATGTCTAGCTCGGATAGCTCATACAGTTCTTCAAGGGGGTCGGATGCAAGTTCTACGAACCGAGTTGCATCCTCCGACAGTCCTAGTGAACCTGAGGTAGAACTCGAGGAAGAATTCGAACCCGTAAGTCGAGTCACCTCGGGTAGTTTGGCGTCCTCCTCTCGTCAA